CTTGGCTGTCATTCCGTCGAAATCCGTGCAGTTCCAAGAAGAGCAGTAAAAGTAAGTGATGTTGAGATTAATGTAGCTTCCAGGTTTGAGCTCTACTGGGACATAGTACTTCAACTGATATGTGTACATGTCATCATCATAAGACTTACTCGCGTCAAGTTGATCGAAAGTTGCCAGACCAACGTTCAGTGTTCTGAGGCCGTAGGCGGTCATGTTAACCGTAACCTTGATAAGTGGCTTGAGAGAACGTACGGTAATTCCATTGGGGAGATCAATAAAGAGTTCTTGAGGCAAGGAAATGGTAACAGTGTTATTGGCATCAAAGAACTGATGAGTTCTTCCTGAGCCCATTATCATAACACCTGTGGCGACGTACAAGAGCGCAACCAACTCCCACATAAGCGCAAACATGCTGAACTGAATGTGACATACACATGTGTCCGCGTTTATATTGCCTTTGTTCAGACTTCTTTTCATTGGCTACTTAGGTCTTGTTGTTGAACGTATACTTTAGCTTTGCCATTCATCCTACTGCTGATAACCAGTACTTGAATTTTGATGCTACTTTGGAGACTGTACAAACAATATTAGAGCAATATCCAACTGTTTGATACATAATAAGGCTGCACGCTACCAATAATATTACCTCTAAGGCCAGCCCACCCAGAAAGGCTGAAAGAGAGGAAGGTTTAAGTCGGCCCTCCATCAAAAGCGAAGGTTAACCGTGGGATCAACGTATTGCATAATACTTCTTTCTCTTACACAGATGGAAGCAAAAAGTTTACTTCCTATTCCAGAGCAGTGCAAACTGTTCGAGACACACAGAACGAATCGTTACATCTATAGAAACACACAATGGATTTGTGTTCACATAACTATTTATTGCGTGCCACGACTATCATTTCTTCGATATTTGTACAAGTTAGTTACGGCAAAGGAATACCTACAATGGCTATGGCATGATATTTTTCTATGGTGTTCGTTTTGATTGGAAAATTTGGGGTTTATTCATTCACTTGACTTTCATCCTCCATTAAAGTACGATAGAACGTTACTTTCTCATACTTTCTGCTTTCCAATAAATAAATGTAGAGGAGATGTCAAAACCAATGTGGATTGGTGTGGGAACAGTCACCTTTTGAGCCGTCACGACGCATGCACGTCACTAGTTGAAGGTCCAGAGGGAGTTAGAGGAATAAACTTTGGCCAAGGGTAGCCTCCGAAAACAAATTTGCGCAGACATTTTAAAGTCAAAATCGTCATCAAGAGTTTCAGCCCTTTCCTATTCTTCAATCGATCTAGGAAGGCAATTTAAAATAAGTGGTGATAACTAATTATACACCTGCCACGATGATACGAAAAACGCGTAGGAGATGCGTCGTTGGAAAATCTTTGGACAAACTGGCTCGGAGTAGCCAGCCTTGACACCCCGATTACTACTGCAGGAAAACAGTGAAAATATCGTCTCATGTGCAAGTTGCCTTGGGCTGTAAAGCACGAAGCTAGTATCTCTGTAATGCTTTGTTTATGTGAATACCTGACGTTTGGCGATCACTTTAGAATTTGTCTGGTCCCTGTATACGTGGGCTGGCCTTCGTGTCACGCTCAGGCTCTATTTGGCCTGTCGTCTTCGGAATACATGTATTCAACCTCACTTATGCCTTCTTCTACCCTATGGAAAGCCTCAGGACGCTACACTGGTGGCAGCGAAAAGCGAACCCGGCTTTTTTTAACGATTTTTAGGTATATAGTGTTTTTGAAGACCTTCTGCTGCAGCCGAGGTGGGGTCTCTCTCTGCGGCTTGTTCTTCGTTGGCCGTTTGTTAGAAGCGACATAGTATCCGCTGTCTTACTGACATCCTACGTTTGCGTTACTAACCTTTGTCAATTAATCAACTGATTTCAGGAAAAGAACAATACGAACAAGCCGACGAGCAATGATACACCAAAATCGAGTTCCCATGGCCAAAAGTCCAACCAACAGACAAAAGTGTAAAGGAAACCTACTTCATGGTGGAGAACTCCAAGATCAATAAGCGCATTTTTGGCGTTGTGCACCGGCAATCATGAGCTATACATGCGTAGAAGGAAGTCTGAAGCTATCGAAGTGCAATAGGTGAAGATACAGGTGAAAAGAGACGTGATTTGAAGGAGGCGCATTTATCTTGGTGGCGGGCGAACCTCCGAATCCTTCACAATGTGAGGATTTAGACTGACTTCAGCATTTGGTTTCACCTTGTTCTCGTGTTCTACAGACAAGCTATTAACAACTGAAATGACACCGCCATGAACTATCTGGGAAAGTTAAATGCCGGAATTTCCCATATAAAATCCGTGTTTAGCTGTCGGAAATGGCACTACGGTTCTCCTTACATACGGAACAGTGGCTCATCCCGATTTCCCTGTAGCATATCTGTTTTAGACCAGAGTTCCACAGTCTAGCCCGGAAGCAAGTGATGGGCAACGGGTGTATGCAACCTTGAATCTGGTTGTCAGACCGAATGTAACTCCAGATCCAGTTGAAGCTGTCGAGGAGATCAGGTACGGTTCCTCAGTCTCATGTTATCTGTCGACTGGCGCGATTGGCTTGTGGGTGCTTTCTTGTAGTACTGAATGTGTTGTGATGGCTGGAGCGGGAGGTTTACCAAAGTGATCGCCGAGGACGTCACTCAAAAGAAGAGAGGGGCAGTTTAATGCTTTGTTTATGTGACTGCCTGACGTCTGGTGGTGACTTAAGAATTTGTCTAGCTCCTGTACACGTGGGCTGCCTTTCAAGCCACGTTCAGACCTCATTTGC